GATCCGTTCCGTGTGTCACAGATGCAGTGGTTCACTTCATTGTTGACTGATTGTAGATTGCACTCAGTTGTGCACAACCGGCTTCTACTCCTGAAAGTTTGACTTTCCTTCTGACATTCCAACAGGGTCCGGATCTTTCAAGTGTCTTTTAAAGGTCCAGCAGGCTTGCGTATGTTTCTGTTAAGTTCACTTCCTTGTGTGAAGAGCAAATAACACCATTTTTCTGGAATTTCTTATCGCTCAGTGAAAGACAAGAAGTTTGATAAGCATAATAACACAAGGGGGTTTCTAAGCAGCTAACCATGTAGCAGCATCCCATGAGTTGGACGCGAAAAGTATAGCGGTCAACAGCAGTCGGACAATTCATATTCAGCTGTACAGATAGGGGAACCATGTTAAGCAAAGCAACACACCGTCGTGCTAATTGCGCCAGATTTTCACAATATCTACATTTGCAGTGGTGGTACTTTTGGAAGCAAACATGGAAACAGTGGAGCTCAAAAGATGATGTTGTGTAACAAAGCGCATGAAGAATATAACCAGGTCAACCTAGCCAAGGGTTCTGGTCTATTTGAAGACCTACTTCATGTGTCTAGTGTTAAAACCCAGGTCCTCTGTTGGACGCTTCTAACCAACTATAAACCCATTTAAATATCCTTGAGGGTAATTGCTAACGAGAAGCTTCATAGTGTTGGCTAGCTAAAGTGCCAACCACCTGGCTGATCAGTGGGCTAAAGTGCATTACTATTTTACATACGGTTTTCACATTTTGAACAAGCACCCCGTGGTGAATAAACCCAGCAAAAGACTTTACCCCAAGTAGTGGTTGGGACGCAATAAGGGGCTGACAGCTAATTCTGTAATAACCAGCTCTTAGAAGTTACATAGGATGCGCATAGCATTCTGACAAACCCTAAAGCAGGTAGTGATTCCATCATCTGGTTTTTGTTTTTTCGCCGTGCAAGGAGCACAAATTCGTTTATTGCAAAGCATCAAAAACGACTCTCCGTTAGAATCGGACTCGTCCAGTGCAGAAATATTTATCCTGATAAAGGAAATAGCGTTTCAACAGGAGTGTTATTGAACCAGTGCACCACTGATCATTACGATAAAGAAATGGGGCGGTTTGCCAAAAATCATACAGAATCACCCTTGGTTTGTGCTGGTTTTTGTTCCAGTACAGTGGACAGTCAAGTGTATGCTGCCCTGTTTGGTGACCTATGTAGTTCGGTTGCAAATCGTCAGAGCGAAACCGAGCAGATAGTTACCCCTTACCTGCTGGCAATCATGAGGCTTTTGAAGAATATCTTTAATATCCTGGGGCGATTGGTTAACGGAAGGACCTTTCATTCGTAATTTCATTAGTCTGTTCGTAGTTTGTGTTGTGCTGTGATCCGGATACACTGTATTTAGTTGAATAACTTCATTCCGCGGAATTTGGTCAATTTTCTGGCCAGCTCGTAAAGCGTGTTGCTTGGTAGTTTGTCTTTTTATATTTCGACTGGTTATCGCGAACATCCAACAATCACCAGTTTTGTTTCCATGAGTTCATTAGCCGTCACGTTTCACCGCTCAGTCCGAAGCCTTTCTCTGCTCCGTTTGATACTTCAATTGTTTGCGTTTGGTCGTTTAATTTCGCGTTCTTCTGTGAAATATGAGTTTTTTTTCCTGATGTCATATTTTGAGTTTTTCAGTCCTGGGGTAGTCCCAGTCTTAGTGCCTGACAGGTCAGATCAAAATATTTTTGAACCCTCATTTGATACAGTAGCACCCTTCCGTAAACTCCAGGAATTTGAGAGGAAACTCCCCATCATTTAGCTGTTTACTTCAAGTAGCTCCACATATTCGTTCAAAGCCGTATAAACGCAAACGTTTGAAGAGGAACTATCAACTCGACAGCATACTGATGATGTTTCCTCAATTTGTGACGAAACGAATGCGAACCGGTGCCGATGCTCAACGAACAGATGACAGTCCCTGACTAACAATCAATGGGCGCACCAAAGCAAGCAGTATTTTAGAGGTGGTCGCCTCTTTTGGCTGAAGTAGTGAATATGCATTTCCGACGGTTTTATCCAGGAATGTTAAACTCCATTATATCAGCCCGAAGAACTTGGTAGAATATTGTACAAAAAATGACCTAAAACTGAAGTTATTCGAATGCAACCAACATTAGGAAATGATTCCAAAGGTTGGGAAACTATAAGCAATCTTCGTGAACTGTACAGAAGAAACAGCCAAGTAATCTCGACAGTATAAATGGCGAAAACAAGCACGGCACAGACGAACCAACAATGTCGATCAGTGCATTGAGTAGTGAATGCAGAATAAGTATGAAAACGGTGGTAGTTTTGTGTGGACCTTACACACAGTACACCATGGGCGAGGCAGCGGTAATCGCCAGCATCATCGCATGAATAGAGCAGACGGTCTGTAACTCGCTGGCACACGGAAAGCGGTCATAAGCCGTGAGGATGTGTCATTGTCGATAGACAGAGTATTTCATTGATTAGGGCTAAAGCACCAGGCTCAAACCAATCAAAATCTTCAGTTCCTCAACTTTGCTTCCCAAATCAATCCAACCAACAAAAATAATGATTGACACCGGAGTTGTATCATCGAAGCAAGTGCCCTTAGCGGGAAATAACAAAGCTAGAAACCGGATTTGGACTTATGATTCTTGTCTGTCTAACGTCAGAAATGGTTTCTCACAACAACTGAGGAAGACTCTTAATTGACACTCAATGCCGATTTAGGAGGAAGTTGGTACAACTGCTAGTGGACTGCGGAGTTTTGTGAAAGGTCCGAGGAGCAGGACCACAGAGCTGACTGGAAAACTAGTGTACGTAGTCTACACCAGACTGACAAGTTTGATATAAACAAAACACAATTACTAAGTAGTAAGTGATGGATAATGTCAAAAAAGAAAGTGTTTAGTGTGGGTAGGGAAGAGAATATTATAGCAAATGGACGCATTGACAGACAGCCACATGAAGACCCACGTACGTGACAGCGCACGACTTACTGCCTGCTGGAGAGGTTTCGCTAATCGCCTATCTTTCTGCCCCAAAACAGGATCAGTTTGGTAACTAGGTCATTTGGCCTGATGGAGGTCTTACTACAAGAACGAGGCGGTGCCAAACCCTTCTGGAACAAGTATCTGATAGTTGAATCGTTACATCCGTATTTTCAACATTTTGCCGAGTTTGTTTTCAGTTTCGTTACCATGAAATCATTCCAGCTCCCGTGCGTGTTTGCGATGGTGCTGTTTTCAGCAGCGACAAAACATTTTGACCGTAGAAAGAACTCATAATATATTCGAGTAATTGAAATCCACACCCCAGTTTTTTTCATATAGACAACCAATCTAGCTTCCGAATCCAGTTATAGCTGCGGACTTTATGCCTGCACATGACGGGCTGAAACTCGGACATTTCGAAAGGTGAACCAATTGAATCCATGCAGTTATATCTCTTGGAATAGTTGGGTGCTGACAGGGTGTTAGCCACCAGCTATGGAGATTCTGTGCAAGCGGAATGGTGACGAGATACCGAAATCCCACAGATGGATTGATTTTCAGCAATTGTTTGAATTGTTCTTCGAATTCGCGTAACCAGATTTCCAAAACAAGTGTATTTTTGATTAATGGTCAGTGATACTCAGATTTGATGAGTTTTAATCAGAGCTAACGGCTATTCACAGAGACATTTGGCCAAGAGTATGTCCGAACCACCTATCCAACGGTCTTCCATGACCGTTCTAAAGGAGCCAATCTAATTAAGTCTATCCCAGAAGGCACTCTGTTGACAGTTAGCCGCAGCCTGTTTCGATCCTTACAACGAACGTTGCCGCCTGCAACTCTGCGATCTCTGTTTACAACAAACCCTGTGCCCACCTTAAACAAGAAATTCGCCACTTCTCACCCAGAATATGGCTGTGCAATCTTTCTGCTGTTGATGAGCACACGCCACGACAACTTGATAAGATAATACGTGAGTATCTCTCTTTCTGGAACATCACCATATTCAAACGCTCAGCCAAAAGCCCAATTGCAGCTCGCTTGCTCGACACTGATCACGTGTTCCATTCGAACGAACCGTTTCGGTTCATCCTTCTCGTACCCAATAGGTTTCTGGTATCGATCCAGCGACGTAGTTTAACCACAGCTAAAGCAGTCGAGATACGTCTGTAAAACCCCGTGCTGTGTGGTATCAGCCCTGAAGCTGCTTTAGTCCTGTGACGCGAATAGATCAATCCAGTAGCTCAAAGGTCTCACGTTCTCTAATCAGGTACGTAGAGCGGTGCGCCGACACCTAATCGTTCATGTTTTCCAATTCAGTAGCAAATCTTAGCTACCTATTTTTACTACTTACCCATTCTAACAATTAGCTATGTACTGACTCGACGAGATCCTGAAAGCAATAAAGTTGGTAACTGTGTTCTTGTTCAAGCCATGAGAATATTTAGGCGAAGTCATAGTCACAGTCATAGTCATAGTAACTACACCCCGTTGGTCGAATTGATAGCTGCGTATCTACCACCGTGAGTCATCAGTTAATTAATATCCGACGTCTCTATAGGCTTCCCTAAATTGACTGCGTTTTTCCGCCTTGAAAATTAACTACTCATCTAATTTCACTTATAAAAGACTTTATGACATTTCAGAAGTCCCAACAATCTAATACTACTCGACTTTGCTTCAAATGCATACCTTTAGTTACCTAATGATTGGACGGTAGTGAAGCGTCAGTGTTGAACACTGATGTCATGCTGTCGATGATGATGATGATAATGATTGGACAGTGAACCTGTCTCTTTTTTGAATTTGGAGTTTGACCCTTTTAAGTAAGACAGTCACGAGGGTTTGACTAAAGAGATAATACCTACGAAATGATACACCATATCAGCACACGAGAACCTCCTTTCACTCCCAAACTTTGCTGACCTTATTATTGTAAGCATCTTGAATAACAATACTTTTCTCTTCTGTTTTCTGGTAGCTCTATTTCCTCGCTGAAGGACACTGTATCTATCGCGGCCCTGTCAACTGCCTCGTGCCCTATTTAGCCTCACAAGATCTGGTGTGTCCACCATACCACAATCCGGCAGACTACTGTAAGTTTTTGGTACCCTAATCAACTTAGGATGCTTCGGTTTATTTTCCCCGCCTTTTTTATCGTCACACATTACACTGCACATAAAAAAGCCTTTTGACTGTTCTACTACTAAGTGCAACCTTTGCAACCTGAGTCACTAACGTGTACTGTTCAAGAGAAAACAACATGAGGAAAAGCTGAGAAGAAATGTGAAGCTGCTCCATCCTTGCTGGGAATCATCATCAGTGATCAGCTTGCGAAACTCAGAGGGTTTCAAAGTTACTGCCTTCTAGGCAGCAGTTAAACACCTAAACCGAGTAGCTGATCAGTAATTCCTCCTCACTTAGACAAGATAAAACACCCTTCATCCTGCAACCACGGAAACCACATCAAGTAATCATGTACTTGACTGGCTCTTTGAGTGTCGAATGTAAAGATAATCGTCAAAGTGACCCCCAAAATTCTGTTTTGTTTTGCAATAGACAATAACCGAAAGGGATTTTCGTTGAAAATCCTTTAAAGTAAAAATCACCCACAGTCTAGCACATTTTCCTGCAAAAGTAGTTGGTTTCAACAATGGTAAGATCCAAGAAATCATGTGACCGGGTTATACGTAGGTAAGCCTCTGAACTAATCAATACCTTGAGTACAAAAGAATGCTAGGGCAAAATGGCATATTTTATTAAGAACCGAAGAATAATGATCACAAATCACTCGCATGAAATGATATCATCGAATACTATTTGCTAATTTATTCTTTCTGTTACGACTGCTTGTCTCAAATGTATGTTGATCAGATTTGGTACTGTCAATCCATGGCACAGCTTTAGACAGCTTACTGTATTCCCCTCTGATATTCTTGGCGTCTACATGAGATCAGCTTGACAATCAAGGGTATACTGTACATTTCTTCGGTCCACTCTTTATTAGATTGTGGATTAGAGATGCGGCCGCTACATTCGGAAGACCTCCGGAGACTCGTTTTTTTTACTGTCGGTGCCTCTGTAACAGTGTGCGGGTCTGTGGGAATATGAAAAAGTAGTGCTCAGTTGATCTTCGAGGAAGTCCACTCTCCATTAATAGATCGGCCTTTCTCTCCCTATATGTTACGCTGTTGGGTCACGTCTTTCGTGTGCCAGAGGACGGTCTGACCCAAGTGGTCTTTACCCAGTCTTAGCGATGAAGATGATCCAGGGATGGCCAGTCCAAAACCTGTCAAGAAGGCATGATAGTCCCCACCAATCAACTCAGTCGCGTAAATACCGTCTACCCGGATAAAGACTGCGTGGCTCTGACAAATTTAGTTGTGTCACCTAACCAATGGCGTTCTCGCGTCGAGCTATCTTGGCTCTCAATTTCTGTCATACAGGACGATGTACAAATTGGGTCATCGCCTCAAACACATTGCTATCATCCCTTGATTCCCTTATCCCTAATGAACGATACTGTGGCAACTGGAACCGTTTACGTCGGTTCGCGGTTTGCAAGCTGAAAAGGTGAACTGAAATGATATTCCACTAGGCTACCAAGCTGGATTTCATTGGTCACTCAGCAATTGTGAAATCAGACGAAGCCTCGTTAAACATCCATTGTCACGGATCGTGTCATGTTTACCTACCTTGAGATCGAAGACCACATAGTTAGTCCACCTGGGTTGACAACACTTGCGATGCCCTGAAATTCGCACAGTAAAGGGGTAGTTTCCTCATCACTGCCAGTATACAGTCAGCCTTTCCTCATTTAGTCAGTACCCCATTTGTCCTAATCTAATCTTCATCCATCAGGGACTCAGGACATTTTAATGGTCACATTTTCCAACATATGGATAACCGCTCCTATCAATTTTTTCGATATCTATTTTCTATGGTTAAATTGCTACCACACGGTGAACCTTCCATTTCACCAAAAAATCAATACGATAAGGGTTTTATCGTTTTGATGAATACAATAGGACCCAGTTAAATTGAAGACGGGGAAGAGAGGGAAACAGAAGCAGAAGATGGATAGGGAAATATTTTTAACGCCCGAGATCCTAGTACGTTTGATCAACAGGTCTCTGTTTACCCTGGCAGGTGCATTTGTCGTCATGTGGTGCTCTCCATACCACCTCAAACGGAACACGTTTGATTTGACTATCTGTGTGTGCAGACACACAGGTGGTTTGTGTACCTATGTTGCTGTAGTTGGTTTTTCATCTCCAATAATAAGATCGGCTAGTTTGGCTAAACGACTGCGTTTCGGAAATTCTGACGCATTTGCAGGGTACGGAAAGACAAGTCTCTAGACTGGAAAAGCCTATTTTAAGAGCATGACCGTCACGGTCACTGCCTTAGTGTAATGGCCAATAGATAATGATGGTGTGGAGTACACAGTCCCATGATGCGTATAACTTATACTAAGGCGGCTGGTGACAGAATTATGTCTCCATAGGAACGGGAGCTGTAAGCGCAATGAAATTAACGCAGATAGTGTGTTTTTTGACGATTTTGCTCCAAATTTCATCCGGCGAATTACGATGATATTGATTACATGTCTTATCCAGACTCCGCCGACGTGGTTATAGAGGCATAAGCATCCCCCCACAAAGCTAGGCTGTGACCGTAGGCTAGTCATTAGATTTCGAAATTCCAACGCAGTAGCAGACAATGTATAGTTTTGTGTGTTTGGTGCTTATGTTTGTCCGAAAGTACCATAACGTCTTCGCATTTTCAAGTACCTGGCATGAATAGCAATCACTCTGACGTTCCAGTATGCAGATCACTGACGCCTATCGCTATGCTAAGTAACTGAGATTGCGTGTACATATATGCTTTAATGAATCATCCATCACGTGATTTCTGAGCCTTCACCCGGTTTGTCGTAGTGAGGCCGTATAGTTGGTGCACAGTTTGTGCATCATGCTCCTTGTTTACACCCTGACACATGCGACTTCTGGCAGGGAGAATTGCCGTACAGTTTAAGTTCACACTGACACACTGGCCCTCTTTGAACAGTGTTTTATGAAAAGGATTCTCTCATTTGCACATGAATTTGGTTTTCATAGGGGACTCAACTTCATGCAGCCGAATATCTAGTTTATGATGGTCCGCTTCAACAGAATGTGCTGCACCAATCCATTTGATACTTTAGTTGGTACGACTTTGGTGATATCCCAATACATCGTCTAAAAGTGTCACAGTACTCATGGGACTGCTGGATACTCTTCGATACTGAATTGAAGAGTTTCTAGCAACCTTATGAGTAGAGTGGTACCTCTAGACTACAACGTCTAATTAGGCCTCCCGTTATTTTTGGTTGTCTTTGAGTATTTTTCAACTTAAAATATGCCTTTAACTGGCTTTTCAACACTTCAGACAAGTTGAACATAAATTGAAAGCTTCCAAGAGCTCATTCTGTTTTGGTGAGAACCAGCCTTACCCCCTTTGGTCAAATATGTGGAGGTTTGCACTCGTTTACCCTTACAACTTGGCTTAAGGTTTCGTCACTTTTACTGAAATGTTTTTTATTGGTGAATCTTAACTTTTGACCGAAGACACATTCCGTAATTATGCAGAAAACTCACTGAAAGTTCACGACCTTCTTCGGCCTTCATGGATTCCTCACTTTGTTATGACAGTCGGGCTATACATCCGGCCATATGTAGCTACTGAGAAGGGTAGTTGCAAGTTTAAATTGACCGCCCTGAGTTTGACTGTGCTCGCGAAGTTTCCTGCGCCTTAGTAGTCACGGTCTGTATTTTCATATCTTATGCAGTTATGGAGGTTGCTTGTGGTGAACACGGCGACAACGTCCTCCGACTCGCCTGTGCTGTTCGTCGCGGAGTATTGGATAAGACCATTCTAAATCTGACCAAGCAGCGAGATGACCCTTGTCCATGCCTCAGTCAGTCAGGAAACCTGCTACTCAACGGAACACAAGATATGAGCATGATGCAAGCCAGAAGTTACCCTCCAACCTATTCAATCATGGGGGAAACTGAGGTATCCTCTGCATACGGGGACGGTGAGAATGAAATGAACGCAGAAACGGCTTCTTTCCTGTTACCCGTGGATTCTAAAAAACAGGTAAGTAAGTTGCCTTTTAACTTTGGAAACACGAATCCCCGGAGAATTATTACGATTGTCAATAGGAATTCAAATATTGTGCTGACGTGTATAGTTGCAGCTTAGTTGCGGACTTGAGGCACATATATCAGCTTTTAGACTTATGCAATATTGAGTAGTTTTAGATACATGATCCTTCATAAAATATTCTTTCACGTCACTGATGGTGTTATAATGTATGTTCGATTCGCTTGCTAACTGCTTGAGGATTTCCAGAACGTGCGTGATGCAGGGTGGGGTTCAAACCCCACTACTTAAAAAGTAGTCCGGATTTTGAATTTTCAAATCCAACGTGACAGTTTTGTCATTGTAATTCATATTAATCTGTATTTGCAAAGCCTTTTTACCAACAGTTCACCGTTACACCAGCAGAAGCGTTATTTCTCTTTGTTTCATCTACAAACTCATCTCATCCAGAATGCCAAAGTGTTTACTGTATCTGCAAAACAATAACTAATTGTATTTTTGTTACTGAATACATATCACGTGATTATTGTCCCAATTCACTTTGTGAGGAACAAGACGTTTGGGTTCCATCTGGATTTAGTTACAGCTACTGGCTACTGACTAATGCGTGGATATCACTCAACTGAGAATCGATCATGGTTATGGATAAGACGCACCAGTGATCGGTGCGCATTCGTGCATCAACTTCTAGACGTAGATCATAGCAAAAAGTTCTCCGAACGTATAATAATCACTCAGTTTTCTCATCAGAACTCTGCTGGTTTTTAGACTGATGAGAAAACAAAGGACATTATGATTAAGGTGCTACCAAACAACCAGTGGAATTCACATGAGTTGGTCGCGTTCGCTCCGTTTCTGTGGCAGGCAAACCATGACTGACTCAGTTCACCCGATTATTTTGGGCTTGTATCAGTTTTTTGACGTATCTACCGCATTCTACACGAGGTGTGCGCTGAGTCGCTCACGCGACCAGCCGAACATACTACAATACGGGCATGAAATCGATGGTATGAGAATGGGGAATGGACGCTAAGATCAGTTCTAAAGCCATAATTATTCTCATATTCTGGTCTCCATTAGTAGGAATAGCGCAACTGGAAAGTGGCCTACACCACCTGTAAGATGTGCGTGACGTGCATACATGAGGAGCTGGTGATAGCCTGCGCAACGGTTAGAAATAAGAGTGTTTTCTAGCACCGTTGTAGACTCATCATCCCCCAACATCAAGTGTACTAAAGTGAACCGGAAAAAGGAAAAGTAACAATCCACCAAATGTACTTTTTCCGAGCCACTGAAATGCATTTCCGCTAAAAGTGACCGGTTGGAAACGAACGTAAACAAACAAAGGAGTTACTGAACTCCTAGCCCACTCTTACTGAACTACCCTGTCAGGACCACGAAGGGGTTGTTCAGCTGGATAACTTCGCATTCCACAGGCAACCTACTGCACCAAAGTAGCTGATATTTTAGAAGGTTATGCTAAAAACAGTTGAAAGAAAAACGGTGAAACATAGGGCTTTGTTGAGGAATTTTTGGATCAGTTTATGAGCAAACAGAGGGGAGAAAAAGTTAGCATACAAATGAAACCGATCGATATTCTGTAGGATCAGATAATGCTCGGAGAAACCTGGGTCTACCTTAAACTCAAAAGTGAGTGTCGGTACTATCTTTCGTTACGCACATTAGTTAACCGTAGGTCTCACAAATCTATCCGGTTTCAACGGGAAAATACAATTTAATCATGAAAGTAAGAGGTCAAAGTACACGTAGAATGAAGGAAAAGATGCCTAAAGGAGAACCACCCGCCCATCTGGTAGGAGTTCCACGATTACTCTCTTTTTGTCACGCCTATACACATACACTTCAATGTCGACTCGTGACACCACTGCCTAAGGAATTAACAGCCGAAGTATGTTATTGCCGGTAGGACCCTCATACGCAGTTTTGACGGTAGTTTGGCGGAAGATTTTTGACTCAGCCACATGAAGCGATCGTCAGACATAGTACCGTTAACGTCTACAGCAAATTCCAATGACACTAGAGAAAACAAGACTGGGAAGAAACGCCATCTTCGTTGCATGACTACCTGCTCATCAAGGAGATCACAATAGGGTGTGTAGTCAGCAGCTGTGAAACCGTACCGGTCTCTGAATTGTTGGTAAACAATATTATGAGCGGCTATCATCAGCTGACCTGCATATAGGAATGTCGCCATCAAGGACGTACTTCAAGTTCAGTTAATTCTGATCTCAGCTGTAATCTCAAGATCTTTACATATAGTAAAGGTATACAGTGCCCGAGGGCCGTTAGCATTGGAGTGATTGGTGTCGATAATTAGAAAGCCGAAAGTTAAAGTTGTTTGATCACGGCTTTTAAGCGTTGACGCAAAAAAGAAGCGGTTTTATTGAACAAAACAACTACTTTTTCACCGTCGCGCACAATAGTTTTCAGAAGGATAAGTACAATAATTAAGTTTCTTTAGACGGATGTTTAGAAGGGATACCACGCATTCAATGGCATTTTGGTGGTTTCCCTTGAATTATCCCAAAAAGATGATTCACGAAAACTTTTCTTCCACAAATGAATCGCTTTTCACTGTCCTTATTGAAAAGTTCTTTTGTGGATTAACAATTTCAGAAGAGGTCATTCTTATGTGCTCACTTGAATCGCAGTATACCGGTAAAATTGCATTGGGATAAGCCCAAATCAGTATCTAACAGTTGGTCTCTTGCAACAGTCTTACGAAGAATTATGCATGTGGCGGCTACCGCGAAGTGAATGTAAAAATGTAACCTAAAACGGAAAATCGTTTTTCATCTACTTTTTCCGGATTCTAGATTTCCATTATGAAACCTAAACCCGTTTCGGAAGTGTTTTTCCATTGGGTTTGTCGCTAAGACGAATCGTAATTCCAGACATTAATTGAATTTTCAACTCAAAGATTTTAACTACGGATTCAACCAAACATGAATTCATCAACCGCTGTTAATGTTTCACCCCAGCACCTTATACCAAATTGTCGCAAGGATAAAAACTACTCGTGAACCAAGGCTTTTCAAAATTTGGCTCGGTTACTTTCGGGAGCACAAGAGTTACTCTTATAGACCGTTCAGCTGTAGCACCCTTTCGGTGCCTGGCTGCCATGCCACCGAAAGGAAAAACGAGGGATGGGATATTGCCAGGTTGCCAAGTCTTGGACAGGGGAAGTCAAGATGTAGTCGATTTCGAACCACGGACCTTTCGGTCAGTAGAATCGCGCTCTAACCACTTTAGCCATCTCACCTCCGGAAAAAGTAACGCTTACTTTCAACATTACTCATGAGTCGCGAAAATTCTAACTGCCTTTGCATTTTCTTTTCCCGTCAATTCCACCAGGACACCAAATCAGCATCGTTGCTGGAACTTCGAAGCAATGGTCCATTATGTCATTTATCTGAGAAGACGTCTTCCGTGCGGTCAGGTCGGGTGAGTGAGTGTTTTACGACGATGATAATTTCACGCAAACCTGTTAACATCCTATCAGGAACGAGGAAAATCAAAGGGTTATTGGCGAATTCACGGACTGATGAAGTCTTTTTGCAATCCAAATATCCATTTCAGTTCTGCGCATGTAAATCACGATTTAGTCCCTCAGACAAATCAGTTGATGCGGAAACGCGGAGGACAGCTGTTCACCAGTTTTCATCCTCATCCGTATTCTTCGACTCAGTACTCAACCAAGTATTCAAGCAAAAATAAATGTGCCTCGTTCTCTTCGGTACGGAATGAATGTTTTCTTAAGACCTGAAGAATTATAACTGAAATTTCTTGACATGGATATTTTTATGCAGTCTGTTGATCAATAACACAAAGCTCTTAGTCGATGTTCGCCCACCCATCCAGATTACCACCGCCTGGAGTCGGCCGCAATTTTTCCATGAATTCTTGCGTTTGCATCATTCGCTATTATGTTTTTGTGCAGACAGTTTGCAATCAAACAGATTTACCCTGTATAGAAGTGACTATTCTTTATAGACGTCCAAGTCAATATGGTAATAATTGAAGGCTGACCCGAACAATAACCTCTAACTTGTAGAACGAGTGGTCCACCTTGTGACCTCCAGGAGGCGATTGCTTACACTCAAACCCGTGTAATTGACCTCCACAAATTATTCGGCACATCTTCGCTTAGTAGGTTAAAAGTAATACCCATCAGCACCAATAATGTCTGTCTGGTTTGAATTTTACAGTGAGTCAGATGTTGTCCCAAAACCAAAGGGCTTTGATGTCAGTTTTTGGAATTCGGAAACAGTTTTATTAGATGCTAGATTGAGAGGCACACAGCTTGAACAAAAATATGTTTATATCTCCGATAGTACCCCGGTCTCTCTCTACGTCTTCCTCTAAGAAGATTACTCGGCAGATTTGGTTTTAACTAAATGTGCTCCGCCAACCATAACAAGGGAATCATACCCTTGTTTTTTGAATAGCTTCATCCTGTTGTAATATCAAAATTCCGGTGGTCGTATTTTCCCCGCAAGGTTATATCGACAAAAAATGAGCATAAATCATTTCATTATCTTGGTCAAATCGTACATGACAGTGATAACAGCATAATCGTGGGATGAATCTATTTCGGACATTCTTTTCCAGCGCGAAACGTGTAAAAATATTGCAGTTTCAGAATAATCATTTAATTTCTTGTGCTTAGAGAACAGGACTGAAACGGTTAGTAAATATGACTTCAAGAATTTTCAGTCTCTGCAGTCATTGGCCTCTTATGAACACCTGGAATGGTGACTTGCGACGACTGTTAGACGCTTGATGATTAAACATTTGACTTTGGAATCCATCGGAACTGGGTGAGGGTCAGGTGATTTAATATGGAATTATTTGTGAACAAGTTCTTTCAACTGCAGTTTTAGCATTCCGTCAGACCATCCTTGATAGCAGTGTGGTGACGGCAGTGAAGCATCCGTGTTGAACACTGATGTCATGCTGTCGATGATGATGATGATGATGATGACGATGATGATGGTGATGATGATGATGATGATGAGTGTGGTGGTCCATAAATGGAAGTGACGTTGGCATTTCGACCGGCGGCATCGATATAACCGGTGTGACTTCGCATGCAAGTGTGTCCGCTTAAACAGCATAAATGCACAGCCTCTAGCCTATGGAATATTAAAGTTCATATGCGATTTTCGTACAGATCTGCATGATAAACTGTATATCGAATGAAATATTGGTGTCCATTTTTGAGTGGGCTGAAGCTCACGCTTATTCATCCAGCGACGTTGTTGCCGTCGTGAGACTTTTAACTGTGTTTGCCTGTATGTCTGTGTCGATAAATTATGCGCTGAGTCAGGCGATCTGATTTGTAAGAATTTCCTAACGCACCGTCGATGTACCGGCAGTGCATACTGGTTAGATTTGAGTGGATTTTGCGTCCGTCCGATGGACTTGTGCACTTGAAAACCTATGAAGGGTAATTTAGAACACATGGCAGCTATTGCCATTCAGCACGGTTCAGATAAGGGGTGGCTATGGCTGCTGCTGTTCACCCAGAAAAGCAATGAACGATGAGCGAACGAGTCAGACGACAAATATATGAGTCCGGACAGAGCTTGTTTGTAGTTTACGATGGTGCCAGTCAGTTTTACCGATGAACAGCAGAAGAGGGGAGGGTTTCACAGTGTCCGAACCCAACAAATTTTCTCCGGCTATTTGCTGTTAGACCATGATTGCAAGTTTGCATCAGTTTCGCACTAAACGGCGGTCGGAGTGTACTAGACGCAAACAACACTGCATTATCTTGGTTTTGACTTACGACTGAAGGATTGACAACACCTGAGCTTCTCATATTAGGGATAATGTTACCGCGGACACCTAGTCAGCGTCGGTCACCCAACTGTTCATTGAGCCAGAAGTGACATTCACCTGGATCCCGATTGGTTTGATCAGTCTGTTTTACTTTTCAGCCTTGTGGGCATCAGATAGCCACAACTCATTAATTCAACGTGTTCATCAATAACTTAACTCGTTTTTTGCCCTTGCCGATTGGTAAGCGTCAGTAAAAAGCTTGAAACATAAAAGACCTGTGATTAACTTGCTCTATTCGAATGTCAGACAGGAGATTTGCTGTCATGAAGACCTAGTGGCAATTTGCTATCAATCAACTCTTTATGGACTTCTGCTTGTAGTGGCACATTCTGGAAAAAATTTTCTATACGAATAACCTGTAAGAAATTATTCCTGGTGTGAGCTGCAGCTAAGTAAAAGACGTATCATTCTGACATTTTCACCTGATCTGACAGAACCTTTCCACTCATTTTTCGTACCTTCTTTTTTCCAGAATAACCGTAATGGTCAAACATTCGAAACCAGTGTCCTCACCCAATTCCGAGTTTTGTTCGTCCGAAGTTTTCTGACGATTATTCGAGACACGGTGAGTTGATCACCCTATGTACCAGGAGATTTGTTTTTTTTTCTTTTGGAGGCACACTGACAGACTGGACATGCAGACTGTCATTCATCGAAGGACAAGGTCGTGGCCACGTGACTCCCATCTGTCAACATTTATCATCCTATCAGTTAACTTCTGAATGTCACTCTTTGTAGGGGAAGGGTACTTGGCTATCCATTGTCTACACAAACATTTCCCGTAGTTCTGATAACCTGTCACTGTGAAAGAAAAGCGCAAACTCTTACTGTTACGTTCCGATCGTAAGGCAAATTCTACCAGCCGTCACGAAGAAACTGGACATTATCATGGTGTGACGGCTTGTATATCTTGGCGACCCATTGAGCTATACTGGGGGTGTTTCCGCGAAACTCGCAGTCTCACACCAGGTTGGTCAATGGTTGGGGGTCTGACGAACATAGTCTCCTGGTCCTCGAGGTTGGGGATTGCAACATGTGGCGACTTGCTCCGTTGAAATGGTAATTCATTTGCATTTCCCGCCAAACGCCACTGCCTTGTGGTTAGGCTTTTGTTCCAAAGGCTTTGGTTGTGGACCCTAATCGTACACCTACCTAGGCGTGGGCGCCCTGACAGTATCTCAGACCACGTACAACCATGAACTGTCATGTTTGTACGACAGCGAAACATTGATGTTGAACACTGATATCATACTGTGGATGGTGATGATGATGATGATGGGACGTGTCTATCAGACACCGATATTTCCCAGACACTCGACGAGAAAGGAATGACCAAGTTTTCTCAGTTTTTTTTCACAGCCCTCAATTTGATGCTGTGGGCTCCGAGCTTTTACGTATGGTAGCCACTTACACTTGATGAGTGCCAGCCGGAATGAAATGTGTCATGGACCAACTGTCTCTGCTTTGTGACCGTCATCTATAAAAACCCTAAGTCATTTTAGTGGTAATCGTCATGTCCTGATCGGAGTTCGTCAAAAAGTTCGGAAGAGAGCTTCGGAGCAAAATGTAGATATTATTTGGATGTATTTGCAGTTTAGGTCGATGTTTAAGGGCTAAGAGGCTAAGGATGTGAGGTTTTGAACCTGATTTTCCGACAATTGAATCTGGCTGGATCTGCTTAATGGGAAAAAGGATACTTTTGGTAGGTTTTCCCAGGGACCAAGCACCTCGTCGACATCCCTACTACTCATAGTGTTCCAGTAGTTTACGCTGGAGAGAAATCGCCCACAATATATTTGGATATCTATATTGGAGTGTGGCTGTCTTGAAAACATTGACCGTAGTGGAGTATAACATTCAAATATGGGTTGCATGTACGTCCCACTTGGTACACTCATACACAACCAGAACACTACATGTTTCGTCCTGCATACCACTACGGCAACTGTTCTCTTCTTTCAGACTGCCGTTAATTTTAGAATCTCATTGTTTGCGACTAATTCTACCTATTTCCACTATTTCCGCCTTCACCTGTCTTCATAAACTCTCGCTAATCAGACGCTTACACACCTGCGGCTGGTATCCCACGTGGTGGTCGGCGTGCTCATCGGACTGCTGTATTTTCGAATAGGAAAACTGGGAACGGAAGTGATCAGCAATGCAGCGTTTATTTTCTTCAGTCTCCTGTTCATCATGTTTGCTGCCCTGATGCCTACTGTGATGACCTGTGAGTGGCCTGTTGTTTTCTTTTGGAAGATGGTCGTCTTTGAAAAGTCCTTTTCAAGTTCCGTTTGACCCGACAGTCTCATGAGCTGACATAAGATATGGATGTCTGTAAGGGTCCTCATACCTTGTTAGATCTGTGCACTACAGGGAATCGTTGAGGATTTTTGGTTTTCAAATCATTAGCAGTAGTGTCACAGATAGGGATTTGGTTTCACATTAGAACCTCGCCACTTAGGTGTTGAAAGGTGTTCTGGGTAGCAGAGACATTTTGCTTACCGCAATTCTTAATCTGAATAGTACAGGGATGGTTCCATCAATTCCAGGGCCAAAATGAATGACATGCTAGGCCTATTCACCAAATGGGAGTTGTTGTCGTGGACCGGAACTTCATAGTCAGAGTATACTAATGCAGTATCTGCACTAATTTCAGTATCTTTGCTCACCCAGTACGTTCGACAAATCGGATATCCATCCAGGGAAATTTGATCAGTTTGTTTCTCAGCTCCCATCAAGGTCAGATAATTAGCACTATCTGCACACTGTTCCACCTTGATAGTATCCCATTTTGCCGTTCAGCGAAAATTTATTTCTTCCAATTTATCCCATCCTTCTTTATTCAACAAAATTGAAGTCCCCGTGGAAATGCCCATATTTGTGAGAGAACATATGAACTATTGGTACAGCCTGAAGGCCTATTACCTGGCTAAGTCTCTCGCAGATCTTCCTTTTCAAGTGAGTCGAAACGGTCAGTTTACCTACGTTTTCCTACTGCGCTGAAAGTGTCAGTCCCTTACAATATTTCCTCTTTCATTCAGAATCTATCAGACATTGACTGAATGCAAAAACTGGAACTGAGTGCTTTTCTCGTAATAGGAGAATTGATTTTCGCGTAAATCAATTTAGAATGCAGTTTTTGTTAGTCCGTCTCGACTGCTGCTCACCATGAAGAAATAATTTGCATATTTTAGCACATGAAACATGTATAGAGAAAGGAACGATTGCGGGACAAGTCAGGTGTGGCCTGTCGTATCCCTCAAGTTGAATAACAAAACAGTATGTTGATATAAAGTCTGAATAACAATTTTTGTGCTTTTATGGTTACTCGAATCTGCAATCAAAGGATGGTTAGGAGTATGACCGACGTTTCACCTGTTCAAGCTAGATTGAATTACTTTAACGTTCGATACCTTGAGTAAATATGGAACCACCCAAAGACCAAGTTTGTTGTTCTGCGAGGCATCAACAACAGAAAACATTTATACACCGGCACGCAGCTCATGGAAGTTTGGAAAAATTCCCAAATCTTAACTAGTATAGAAACTTACAAGCGACGCGCACTGACGATAGCACCTCAGTTGGTGACGAAACGTTTGCAGGCTATTGAACAAAGATCACTGATCAACCACCAATGAGTACACTTCAGTTGTCAAACAGGCAGAGATAAATGGCAATCTTGATTGGGTGGGGATGGTTTTAAATAATGAGTAGTTGTAGCCGGTGAATGAGCTATTTGGCCTCTAAATCCACATATGTATCATCGGATTACAAATTACTAGGTGGTTTGCTGGTAGTTTGAATGATAGATTATTGTTTGTCATGGAAGAATTTTTGGATCAGATACATAGTTAGGGTTTGGTGGAGTATGTAGTTTTAGAAGGGATCAATTAGAGTTTTCAATCAAGATTTTGTTCTGAAGTTAATTAGTGATGAAGAGCTGAAAATCACTGCATGGCTGCTTCATCTTTATTTATGATTATCGGCAGCACGCATCTAACGAATCTCCAAGATGATCTGAACCCAAGACCCTTCAGCCATTAGTTGAACAGTGCTTCATCAACAGTGTGAATAGTTTTCATTCTTTAATCACGAAAACCATACCACACGGTCACGTATTAACCGATTCCTCGACTTATTATTTCCCAGATAGAAGTTTCCTTCATCTTGTGAAATTATTCTACCCATAAGGCATAAATTGATCGTGGTGGTAGGAAACTTTGTAATTTTCAAGTTAGGTTTCGTCCTGTCAGGGGGTTTGGTAATCTATGCTGAAATGCCGAGAATAATTGTACAGTCATTGTATCCCTGTTGGGGATCGTCAGCAATTTGCATCTCACAAAAATCAAAGTTTCGAGCCCGTGACCTTCCGTCCAGTAGTTAAAAAACTTCACCAATTGCCACGACTGGCTTATCTTTAGTGAGATTATCTTGCACAAAGATAGTCAAGTAATCACCTCAAGTGTTCAGATTTTGTCTAGCCAGTTGCTTTAGATTTCTCCAAAAGCCACGGAGAACAAACGTGTATGACAAAAGGTGTAAGACGAAAAGGTGCTGACATTTTCTAAACCAGCCTTTTTGCCGCTCAAAGAATAGATCGGCACTTTTCTTAGAAATCTTGACTTATTGTTTGAGTTTACTGATAATTCGTATCGTCGTGGATAAGTGCCATAGTTTATTCCCAAGAGAGTTTGCTCACCCAAAAGCTTCGCGCAAAGCCACGCACTCTAGCGAAGAGGGACTTATGACAACAATAGGAAGGCAGCTACCGCATCAACGAAACAGCCATGTGCTTACGACTGATTTCGTGAGGCCATCTATGTTGTTCACATTACTCTCGCTTGAATACTCCTGTCAATCTGATGCAGTTATTCTGGCTAGTTCACACCAGAATGCGGAGTTCATTAGCAATGCTTATCCTTGGGTTTACTAGGATTCCAGCCGCGGGCACTGGGTATCTGAGACATGTGCCGCCATTCCACAAGTGCACACTGAGGCTGTCTGAATTATCACGTCTGGATTGGCGAACGTTTCCGAGCCTGAGCGATGTGTTTTACGCGATGATCCGATAGACGATCCAGTACCGATCTCTAACCCCGCCAGGAAGGGCTCCCCAGTCAGGCAGAGTCACAAAAACTCGAAAGCTCCTGGAAGGCTCTTGGATTAGTTTTCGATGAATTCAAAAAAAATCCTGCGATCATTGACAACTAAACGTTTAGATTTTTCGATTGACCGAACCACGGTTTGAAACACGGCATTGTGACTGTTTGACGAAGAGATACTGCGAAAATGAGTAACGAGTGTTCAAAGTAATAACTCCTCGGGATGGCAGTTTTAGCTCATCTTGTGCCCATTCTCGGCAAACAGGGACAACGAAGTAAACTTTGTCGCTGAAAACACTTAGCCAAAACCTCAGTTGATAGTTCGGCTACTTATTCTCAGCTTAGGACTGTTTTACCCCTACAATTCACCACACTTTCTTTAATCACTCTTTCTGTCTCTTTCTCTTTCATTGAGAAGATATTCTTCCCAATCATATACAGCAGCATTGTCTACTGGATGACCGGTCAGCCAGCAGAATTTCTGCGATTCATGCTCTACCTACTGATTTCTGTCCAAACCTCCCTGGTGGGACAGTCCCTCGGTCTGCTCATCGGAGCCGCGACTTCTCTACAAGTATGTGCATGGTTCAGGAAAACGCACACGCCACATAGGCTATTTGGTTCTATTTTTCCGGGCAAAAGTTATTCAAACGGAAATCAACTACCTGAGTTAAAACAAGAAAACTTCGGAGTGGATATGAAACGATAATAAAACCACTAATTGCTCAAAACTAGTAATAAGGGTTCTTAAATTACTAGTGTCACAAGTGATTCACCTTGTTTAGAAAAAAGGGTGGACAGTTTTATGCCAGGTAACATTTGGTTTGCCAAATGAGGTTGATCACACCTATGTTGAAAACCTACAGCAGTCAGTACCCAATTGTTGGACTGGCAGAACAGTGACCATTACGAAAGACTCCCAATGGCGTTTTTCAGTGGGCGGAATCGGGAAAATAAACATGTCTCCAAAACCAAATTATGTCGTGCCTACCAAACTCATGCCTGACACATCTCAGCCGTTGCAAACTGACTTCGCTAACCTTGTCCATAGAGTTTCATGTTCTCTTACAATTCACTGATCTGGTATATGAATCAGTTAACGAAATTAATTCTAAACTGATATCATTGCTCTAGAGATCTTCAAGGGACCAGGTTGATTCAATATTATTTTGATACTCCACATGTCTCGTAGACATAAAAAATATAAAATGTTCGTAGATGAATTCAATCTGGTTCCACTGAATGGTAATTCGCTTGGAAGTATACTTTTTCCGTGCCCGATTCATTTTACTGCACATCATAGGCAATATATTCACAAAATACCAATTGAACTGTTTTTTTCTACCTTTGTGCATAATACTGTGATAAGCCATTTTTTGTACCTCAAATAATTTATCTGCTACAAGAATTAGATGTACTCATTAATATTTTGTGAAATGTCTAGCCATCGTTATTCAGGTGTTATCTGCCGCTCGTTTGGCCATGTGGCGTACGTAACCATATCGATCGATACATTTTTTCTCCATCTTCTGTTTGTTGTCAGGTTGCCGTTTTCCTCGGTCCGGTTGCCGGAATTCCAATTCTGCTATTTTCCGGGTTCTTCCTCAGTCTAGATCTCATTCCAAAATATCTTCAGTGGCTTTCCTATATTTCCTTCACGCGCTACTCCTTCTCGGGAGCACTCAAGGTGCGTTTGTTTTTTTGATTGCAACATATCATGCAAAACTTACCACCCAGGTCACATATATGCTTCAGTATAAAGTCAAACTTGTTTGATGTGGTCCATTATTAGTGTTTGGTCAAACGAGAGACGAACTACCAAACGAGGGGTTTTTCGTGCATATGGACGCACAACCACGTCAGCAAATAAGCACGTTAAAATGGTAGCTGGAGTGCCTCTTGCATGCCTGGGATTCAACTACAGATTAGTTGTAGCTAAACCGGGAAGCAGTACAAGAATAACAGAGTTCAAACAACTACCGTTTTTGGATTTTGAGCTTCAGGCGGTTCACAGCAAAGCAAATATAAGCACAAAAAAGAAAAAGGCAGGTCTAGACGTAGCACACTATCTATGAAGTTACTGGAAACTCTCCGACAGTCCAACGGCTGTTTTGCAGATCTTCAAGCTCATCCGGTGGGCGCCGGATCCATGAGTTTCCGTCCACCTTATGTTCTACTTGAACCCAATTTGGACAGATTTTAACAAATACCCTTATTTACATACGAATGTGGTTTTCACATGAAACTCAATAGAATCCAATAAAACCGGTCGCGGGCTGTCGAAAAATTTCCAGCAACTTTATGAGTAGCGTGCTGCTTCCAAACAACACTGCCGCGGTTCGGTGCAGCACATTCAGTTGGAACGGACCGTAACAAAGGAGCGATTCAGTTGGACTCAGCTGAGTCTCCTGTCGTCCGCAAATTTGAGCACTTTTTTGAAAACAGCAAGTCATTAAAAAATACGGGACTGCAAAATGCGTAATGTTCACTACAAAAAGTTACATATCAACGACATAAAGCATCACTTAACAGGGGTCTGTTCAAGTTCGCAGTTGTCCTTGGTCAAGGGAGCATTAGTGTCAGGGGCACAAAGTCCAGGTCCATCTAACGGGTTTTTCTATGCACGGAAGTACGGACATAGTCGAGTAAATGCTTAATAGATAGGCTGCAATCACTTCTTTGAATCTCACATGCTTGTGCGTAGATTCTGTCTGATAAGCGCCTTGCCATACGGTCAGGTGTGAATACACATTAAAGCCAATCACGGAATGCACATGGACTGTCCTCGATTTTTATGCGCCGAATAGCCTTTGAAGCGCAGATTGTCTGTAGATATGTTCGGCAACTGGGCGGGGCTTACATGACTTCAGTCTGATTATGAAACTATATTTGAGGGATAACCGGACGGAAACCGGTTTATCCTCAAATGATTTTATTCATGATCGCTGGCGTTACCCAGTGGATTATATTTTGTTCACGACGGCAGCGATCTCAATGGCTTGGTCATGCACTGCGCCTGAACCATCGTTTAGTGGGTGTTGTGCAGTTTTCCATTCCCAATTCGGAGTGGCGCAAAAAGGAAGATGGTCATCTTCTGAACTGACGGAAGAGTATGAAACCAACTGCGAAAAGTCTGGGTACCGTCGGTGCGACCCGTCTCACAGGATGAGGACCGCGCGTAACTCTTGTGAATGGTTGGTGATATTGTTGAATTCGGGTGCTAATCGATGTCAGTGACGTTGTTGTTTTTAGTTTCCGACCACAATTTCTGGAGGGATGGGCAGTAGGGAGTGACTGGAGAGGCTATCTCCAGGCCCCTTCCCCATCCACTTTTACCCTTTTCCTCAAGATAGAGCTTTATGTTCTATGGCAGAAAAACATCAATATTGCACATTGACGCTGTACGGTCGACGATGATGACAGTGAAGTATATGTTTTATATTCACCAGAGTTGTTTCAGTTCGGTTTTTAGCCATCCATTGTAAAAACAATAGGCGTTGCACAGTCTCTCGCTGACTTCAGACGATACGGCTTTGCTATTCACTCAAACATCTCCAGTTTAGGTCAGCTGAAACTCAGCCTCTTATAAGGGAATTTTTTTGCAATTCTCTTCAAGTTTGATTTGAAACGTATCCTTTAGATGCAAACCCGAATCTTGTCTGGCGCTAACAGCTAATAAAAAGTTAGATTTTGTATTTGCTCCTGCATTCTATTGGATTACAAAACAAGGTAACCACATGTGCCAATGCCTAAAATAACAGTTTATATACTATGTATCCCTATATGGGCGTAACAAAATTAGACCATGTTTAAAAAACGATAATGCCTGAGAACAATGTGCATCGAGTGGTATTCGTCTTTCGACTTTTTTGTGTAATTTTCCCTCCTAGTCAATACGCTCACACCCATTATTTATGAGTCGCCTGAGGACCAGACATAGCAAAGAGTACTTTCGTACTACCGCGCTTTTCTAGTGACACTGAACTTCAACCGAGTTTTTTCTTTTCATCCGTCTTTATGACATCGCGGAAACAATGTCGACTACACCGGTGATTGTAAAAGGAACATTACACATCCACCCATGTCTTTTTTGAACAGGTCTCCTCCTGTCCTAGTGCTATTATTCTGGTGAGTCCATACCAAAGAAGGAATTCACCGAACACGATTTCCGCTTCCACTAGGGTTCATCAGCACTGTATACTCAGGCCGTAGCGGGATTTCAACTCCGGACACCTCACATGTTGGGCAAACGGATAGCCATTACCCCACCGGCGCAGGTTGGAGTCACTTGAATTATCACTTCTGGACACGCTAACTTGTTCACGCCTGAGTGACATGATTGGTTTGTCCGTCGCCTGGAGCGGTGATCCAGTAACTGCCCACATGTCCAGTCATTCCAATCATGTAGAGCCACGGACGCTTGAAACCTGCTAGAAATTTTTTTTCGATTGGCTATATGGGGTTGCTTCGTTCAGTTCGTCGTGCAAACAAACGACGTTCACCCATTCAGACGTGATAATTCAGGTGCACTCAACGTGCGTCGGAGTTCAGCTCCTCGCAACGGCCAAGGGGAGCCCTACTGATGAGCTTTAATGCGAGTAAAACTACTGTTTAGCGCTTCGGCCGTTTGGTTTGAAACCAAAAGTTCAACCCCTGGCAGGAAGAAGACTGTTCAATCGTTTTATCTGTGAACCAGAACAAATGTGCCCTCAGGATTTGGGTTACCAATCGTTCGCTTACAAAACGAGTATCATGTAGTTTAAAACCTGAATAACTCACGTAGTTAAGACTATGTGACGCCGGTGACGCGACAAGCTAAAGAGGTACGTCCGCCTTAGGCTATGAAGCATCTCCTCAAAATGTAGATCCCGGTACAGTTTGTAACAGCATTAGATCAAAGTCCAAGAACTGGGCACAAGCGTACCCTCAGGGTATTTTTCCAGAATGGCGGCGTGCGATACTCCAATCCTTGAGGACCTAGAAAATGCTAAGAATCTTTGAACTTATTTACCGCTTTGTTTTCTTAATAACCCACAAGAAACAATGTAGCTTCGGCGGAACGGTTCCCTGATTTGTAAAGAGAGTAGCCAACTCAAGTGACTTAAGTATCTTTCCCCAAATTTAGGTCAGTTATCCCCAATTCACTCCTGTCTCCTTGCCACTCTTTAGTCCGTTCTCACGAAAGGGATAAACAGAGGGATGTTGGTGGCAGCACTCGCCGTAATCATTCTTTGTATAAAGTGCATCTGTTAACGGAAAGTTGCTCTTTCATTTCGGCGCTGTTTGGAAAATTTACTCGTCGGAGAAACAGTGTTACAGGTGATTTATAGGGTTTTGCTGCTCACTACCCTGTATTCTACGGCGTACAAGAAGTTCAGACAGTAAGGATGGAACACGATGCATGAGTGCCGATCAGCATGCTTTCTCAAGGACTACTCTACCGATTTCAATATTAACAGGATATGGATCGACGAGTTAAATTATGGCTGCGGAACATTTAACAGTGGATCAGAGTTCTGTAACATTATTTAAACCTCCCCTCTAAGAAGTCGCCGGTAGAAAAAGCAGGCATTTCAGATGACATTGACTAAATAATCAAAAGACGGGTAACAACATCTACTTTGGATGCATCTTGTGTACACCACATACTTTTAAGGGCAATAGGAAGGTGTCCAAATACAGTCAAGCGGACAGGCCATAAATGGTCTGATGGCTTCTGTGATTTCTGTGCATCGCCACTTACAAAATCCAGTTTAAAGTCAGGCCCAGACAAATGACACTTTTCCAATATCACACCATTGAGACCTGACCTAAACTGTCTGGTGTATCTGAATAGTAGCCTGCTAATTTTCACGCCAGGGAGCCGCGTTCTCTCCCAGAGATTTGTGTGCGTAGGAATTAGCTGGTGTTTTTTCTTGTGTCCCCAAATGAATGTCAAAGTGCACTTGACCCGTTAAAGAAATTTATGGCATCTCAGAACAGGAAACTTGCAAATTCTCGAAGGCTGATCTGCGAAAGGAGTAAAAAGCAGCCAGCCGTCGAGCTTCCAAGCAGCGAGTGTATAAATGTGAACGATCGATACGTCTACATGCACTACTGCAGCTAGTCCTATAGGGTTTGAGTACAATTGACGACCTCAGTAGTCCCCTAGCTGCTTACTTAAAGAAATAAATGCTTCAAAACAACTTGCCCCAAGCATCACGGATCACAAATTGAACTGCGTCCACTAATCTATGGTTAGAACCCCAACACCCTCAAAGTGGACCAAACAACTAGTTATTTACCATTTTGCCATTCGAGGCGGGAAAACTGCTCACTTCAGTTTTGGAAAGTCGGTCTTCCTTGAGAAACTCAAACAATGTTTCGATGCCAAAAATAGATCGAATAGCCCCGCAGATCCTTCGTCACCGATCAGACTATCCTGGCAGTGCGTTACGTTCCATGTGCTCTACAAAATCTATCGACGCGGAATCAGTTTCTCAAAACATTCATTCCACTCTAGATTTGGCCCGGCTAGACCGGTTGACCGGCTCACTTCAGGTGTAGATAGATGTAATCTTTTCACCGTTTCGGAGCATGGAATAAAGTGCATGGTAACTTTAATTTGATCCATGGTCTTATTTAAAATGAAAATTTAATGTGTGTGTAAGTGTTTGCTTCACTGGTATGCAGTCATTACCACCATCCTGTGTACAGCTTTGCAAGCGAAGCATCGCTAGCATATCACATTCAGTTGGACTCAATCAGAGGATAACAATATAAATTTAGTCAAGACCCTCATGCTCATCTCACTTTGATCTTACAATCGATTCTTGCACACATCCTTGTTCGAGAAAGTTCCAATACGTTGTGGTCATTCCGTCATTGAATTTTTCCATTCTTGATAGCCTTTAAGACTGAACACGGACTGTGAGAAAAAGACATTAAAACTGCCAGGTCAAGCCTAGTTCCCAAAATACAGTCAAGCCCAGTGAGTAACACCTACTTCAGTCATAGCTTTCAAAGAAGTGCGTCCATACTTTAGCTGTCTACACTGCAACCAATCATTAACCAATCATTAATTTCGAAAGTATCCTTTATCTACAGTGTAAGTTACTGCCTATTCGATAAACACAGCGCATTTGTTTTCTTTACATAACATACTACCTACGGGATAGCGACATCCCACAATCAATTTCGCTATTCTTAGCGCTGAAACCATGGGTGTGGGCTTTCATCAACTTAATGATCTAATTGAGCATCAAACTGTGCACATTTGGGAAATCCCATTCAGTTGCAGATGGTACTGGTATTAACGGGAGACCCCACTAAATTTATCCTTCTTAATCCTTTTATACTGCGAGTCCAGTGATAGATAGGTAAAGTAATTCAGTCGTACACGAAGCGGTCGAAATTAATCTGTGCGGTGTGAACTTCTCCTTTTCTGTCTTCCGTTTTTGAATAGGAACGATTTCCACTGTTCCTCCACCGTAATCATAAGCTATTGAACTGCCCATGTACGCATTAACTTCATCCGGACGCTGGTCAAAAAGTGTTTTGATGAGATTAATCATAATGCCAACCATGTGTCCAAGATTCAGGTCTGCTGACTTGGGAAGAATATATAGGAAATTATTTGGGTAAGGGTCATCAGCCACCGAGCAAGTTGACACGGCTGGTGATGTGCTACGGAGACGACAGAACTGGTAAAGTAGAGGACATCGTTTTAGCAGAGTGCTCTGTGCAGAGCCCACGCTTAGGAAGAATGACTCCGCAAGACGTCACATTTTGTTGACCCATTGGTGCTTTGGTAAAATACTGAGATTATGAATAAAAGCTACTCAAAATTCCAGCAGTGGTGCACGTAAGACATGGGAACCAAAGTTTCCCAAGAGTGATGAGCGGTAACCAAACAGCTGTTTTGTTCACTTTTATCGGTGAGTTTTTCCGAAGTAGAGTCAGCTGTGTGCCTTGACGGTAAAACGTAGATGATAACACTCTTTGACTGTGTCCTTCTATCTAACCCGCCATTGTGAAGCTTCGTGCTCGGTTTAAAAGCGACTTTCACGATTGGCTTCTGGCTCGGAATAAATTATTGGTTAAGGATCGGACTTATTAACTAGAAGCCCCGTGGTTCGAATTTAACCCCGGTATCATGACTGCTCCCGTCTACGTACTGTCAACCTGGCAGTGTCTCAGACTTTGTGCTTCCTTTGGGTGGCATGGCAGCTAGGCACCAAATGAGTCCTACAGCTGAACATCGATGATTTCAGCCCCAGCAGAATAATGCAACCTTATACCTAGTTGACAGTGTTTAAAAACGCTTTTTGAAACAACACCGGAAGGTAATGATGGCGTCATTTTTCAGTGTGTCACAGCGACCCAGAATTACTACGTCAGTCTTGGGACGGAACCTTATGAACACAAAGCCATTGTCACTGGTAGTTTTATTCAAAACATTTTTTCTTTGGAATATTATAGACTGGGTGTAAAAATACGTGGTAAGGTGGTTTTAAAGCGCACAAGTGAGGACTCTGTTACCTCAAAAGAACAACGTAATCGAAACTTGACACCCAGATTTTTTCATGACTCGAAAAGCTAGCCTTATCCAGGTTAGAACAGTCCGAATAGTGCCTAATCTTTCGGCCAATTGTGTAGCTGATCAAACTTGAACCGAGAATTTAAGCAGCCACCGCTTGTCCAATGAGTGTTTTGTTTCAACCGAATGGTGAAAAAACTTATGAAATCGGTCACACCTCTCAAAGCACCTCTTGAATCCAATAGTTAACAGGCATCGCTATCTGTCGGATCCTCATCACAGCAAAGGTCTGGTACTCAACTAGACTGTACTGTTTGGCTGGGGTTCACCAACCTCTGCGGATTTAACTGTATCCGAGTTTAATGGCAAGTCTCAACGGTGTAAGAAATGATGGCGTAGACGTACTGAACAAATGGTATTTTAAAGCCAAGATAAACTGCGACTCCGAACAACAACTAAGTTTAGAATTCTTAAGTATTCTGGTTACCACATGGTGAGCTGCGGGATCCACAACCATCAACCAATAGACGCTGGAAGGTAAGGGCTTTTAGATATGCACCGAACCACCAAGGTTGATTTCCTTGGAAAAACGAAAGACTTGTTTGGAGGACGTCTCTTTTAAAAATTTTACCAACTGCACATAATTATTTTTCTGCGGGACATTATATTATCATACACGAGAAATTCTGACGAGTTTAAGGCCAACATCTTTTCTGGGGGATATTGATATCCCCAACATCTGGCACAGAAATATATGCAAAGTAACTGATCAAAAACGTTTGCTCTATAGGGAAGAATGTTGTCAATCAACACGTTCTCCTCAGAACCCAATTTACTACAGCAAATGTTACCAACATCTTCTGCATGGTCAAATGAAGAAAACAAGAAGGCCGGGATACTTCCAGGTTGCCCAAGTATAGACATAAGTCGAGAGGCAGAGGTCGAATTCGAACCACTGTTGTGTGGTTGATAAGGTTAATAATCCTTTCTAACATCCTTGAGGAACTTCACCTCAACAGGGTGTTTCTGACTGATTAGTAAAGGTTGTTCACCTCTTTTGAGGCACGCAACTAACTGATTAGTTTACTGGTTGTCGGAACCTCGGGAAATTCAACTGAGTCTAGCTGAATTTCTCATTTGTGGTAGTCTCCGAAAAGTTTTCAGCAACTTACCAGTAGTATGTTCGGTTTATTTAAAGCTAAACACATTTCAGATTTGAACTATATCATGTTTGCAATGAAACGTGACCAAAACCCGTTCCATTTTTCTATCCCTTGCCCTTAAAATCCGACAACTGAACCAGGTGATCTATGGATTAAACCGGACCTCTCTGGATTGCACACACCGCCGAAAGTCCAAAGTCTCCTTTCCTTGTGTACACAATCCGGCGCTTGTGATTGATGCGCTAAATGTGGGCCAATATCAACTCTATTTAGATTTCCTCATCCTGATCATCTTCTTTTTTGGTTTACGACTACTCTGCTACTTTATCCTACGTTGGAGAATCAAAGGACAACGGTAAAGTGGGGGCGGAATTTTCGAACGCACCTCTCCGTTAGACTAGGAGGGTACATCCTTCCTGTGTGTGACCACAGCATACAAATACACAAATAGCCCGTATGCATGCAAAATGTTTTCAGATTCTTCCGATTTTGTAACAGCACCATAAACTGTAAAAGTGCATGTTTGCTTCCTGATTTTCCCCTATTTCCTCCAGTTTTTCTGTTTCTTTTTTCCAAATTAAACATTTTTCCTTGGCAGCCAAGTTTGGTCGTGATATTTTAACCCTTTGCCATTAGGCCCTTATACCGTCCATCCCAAGAGAGAAACAATAGATAATTACTACCTTGGGCACAAGCAACGTGATCATGTTCACTAAACTATACTCAACAAAGCAATACTACATTCTTCCTGTTTGAAATGCCCCGGGTATTTCCTGTGTTGAAACCAATGACTACAGAATCACAAACGTATTATATTCGTGTCAAACTCATCCACCATACAATTATGGACATCATATGATATGCGAACGTTCTTCCTCTTGTGCACATGACGTTTCTTCAGGCAATTGTTTTGGACTTTACCGAAACTCACCAGTTCCATTTTTAACCAGATCGTTATGTTTTCTTGTGATTTCCTTTTGTTATTATCCATACATGTAGATGTATGCGTCGGTTAGCATGAGGATACACGCCATTCCACCGATACAGTTTGCTGAAAAACAAAAAGTGATACTTCTGTCCTTTGCGTTCTTCTTCATATTAGTGAGGGTAGCTTGAGAAACTTAGGACAATTGATCCTAGTAAAATCTTTGCTTAGGGTACTAAGCACTCCCAAATTACCAGAATAATTATCTTGCAGGTCTGTGCAAAGTTACCGACTGATAGAATGACAGCAGATTCCACCACTTTCGCCCTTCGTCTACAGGATTAGAAACGCCAAAGTACTTGACGACCTGACACCTAAAACCAGAGTCCGTACAATTCTGCGGTAGAGTTGTTCGCAGGTTGTTCCCACGATGGGAGCCCAGGTATTCTGGGCACAGATCCCGAACTGGTGGTCGATCTCCTGCACCGACAGGAACCTTATTATTGCTTTGAAAATTCTTATTTAGATTACGAACAACGGTGGGTTGGTGAGAATGTTTTTGGTGAGGCCTCCCCTTTTTACACAGTTGTGAAGCTAAGACAGCATTGGTTAACACAATAGAAAGAGCACGGTGTACATGAAACAGTAAGCCGACTGAAGGATGCCGTTGGAGAGAGCAGTTTGAGCAGCTGCTGTCGGTGGTTGAAGACTCCTTTCGCCTTGGAAGTAAAGGGGGTGCCCAAATACGTTACGGTGTCAGTCGGACCCACAGGAGTGATAAGTTCCTCGGCGAAGCAAAAGGGTTCGACTAAGACCACTGTCGCCTGATGTTTTTTGTCCCCACCAATCACCATTGCTTCTGTCTTTCGCACACTGAGCTTCATAACAGTTCTTCCAATCCGACCGTGGCAGGATCAAGCTTCTCAGTAAGGCAAGCCTGACTTTTTGTACACAAGATGGAGTTGTCAGCGAAGGTAAAACTATCCTCTACAGTGTCATGGAACTGGTATCCTTGTTGTGGCATCGACAATCCAAGAACCCTATCCGCTGCCATGATGAACAATAGTGGGGAGAGTGGGTCTCGCTGCCTCACACTTAAATAGCAGTGAACCTCGGGATTGGGGAAGACTTCTCATATGACTGTGCAATGTATCAAACTGGAGGTGACGGTGTCTCAAACGCCTGGGCAGATATGACAGGTGTGTCTTGCTAAACCGAATTGAACCCCTTTGAGATACCAACTAATGCCAAGCTGAGGTTAGAATCAGTCTCTGAAGAGTAACGAAGCAGGGCATGTAGCAGCGATGTGGCTTCCAAACAACCGCCTCGATGTAGATGTGAGTGCCGTTGCAATCTACGACTCCAGCGATCAGCAGGCAGCGTGTTGCCATTGAACCGGTGGATCATCGATTAATCGATACTGCTTTCCAGAAAACTAACAATTTCGAGTTGGCACTACGAAATAACACCTCTGATCAACGGATAAAATGTGCTTACTTCATGTTGTCGGGCTACATTCCACTGTTCCATTGTTGCTAACCTCTATCTGTGATGCAGAATTTACGATTTTTTGTAGCCTTTAAATTGATATTGTGCCACTGGATAAGTGGGACCCAATGTATGGAAAATCCCGACTGGCGCCTTTACGCCAGATTTTGGGGTATCAGGTCAAGAGGCAATGTACTATGGAAATCAGGTGGTACATGCTTCTATATAAAATTGTACATCCAAATGGTTTAAAACCGCAATTAAACCAGAAGCCAGCGGTTTGGAAAATGCTCCACCGTGCTTGCTACACACAAACATAGTCAGGTATTATGAGTAGAATGTGTAAAAATCATCTTGGGGCAGAGCGACTCAAAAGATGACTAGGAGGTAGTCACTTGGCCTCTGGCTCTAAATTACGGGATATAAGATGGTATTTCGCCAAAAGGAAAACAAAGTTTGTCTTCCGAAAGAATTGTGGCTTCCAGTGCAACTCAGGAACGTTTACTGATTTGAAGTTGGACTGACATCCATCGGACAACTTCATATTCACATCACTGTCGTTCGAATAGTCGTCCTGCTCTCATAGTGCACCAAAGGGCAAATCCAGTGGTTTTAAGTTTTGCTCCTATTAGAGCTCATCTGCACCACATGTCCTTGGTCATTGCAGAGTTCAAACACCAAGCATCTGACGTGTGAGGCGACAACATCACGATGGAAACAACGGATCTTTTTTGAGTCTGAAAATGCGGGCGTGTCCATGCTTGGGTGTGATATGATTGGTTTGTCCGATGCAAATTTTATTTTCCCTGAAAATGTCTAATGAAAGCTTACATCTAGAAGCATCTTGGTCCAACAGCCGTACCACAGTGTCTCGAGTGCTCAAACAGACCTAGTTACTATGCAACATGGCTGTTTATAGAAGTTCGAGAATGTTAATCAACCAATCGATGAATTTACCTTTGCATAGTCGCTTGTTTTCGAAATAAAAGCCTCCTCAGAACAGGTTAATTCGGAAGGTGAACTACCCAGGAAGATCGCTCTTAGTGCCGGATTTCGATGAAACGTTTTTGCTTGGTGATGTTGGTGCCTTAATCTAACAAATGGCTGACTATTTGGAGAAATTCCCAGCTTTCGATTTTGACCAATCTTCTTCAAAACATTTCATTTTACTATGCCCCGTGGAGTTCGTCAAAATATTTTTTGTCCCTCTGGGCAAGCGGATGTTGCGATATTCTGGACAGAAGAAAGGTTCCATGGAATTCGGTTGGTTTATCCTTTCAGCTTAGAGCAAAACAACTTCCACTGATAACTGCTGCTCACTAATCTCCGCACATCTTGTGTCTAACAGGTTGATCTGAAACCATTTTCCGCAGGCTCACAATTCTGTGACTTGTTTATATTTATTCGTAATTCACGCAGTTTGTAACCAAGCTACTAAACAACTCGATGTATGCCGTAATTTCAAGTCACTTGAGGTCGACAAGCACGTGAGCAATTATACCTGACCTGGTTAATGTTTGACATAGCTCAATATTCAATTCGTCAACTTAATGACCGAAGAGTCCGTGGTTCGATTCCGACCCCAGGATCCACCAAAGGAGTGTTACAGCCGAATTTTTGCACCCGTTCTTTAAGGCGTCTATCGTGGTTACAGCGAAGCTATTCGTAGCACAGGTCGCTATTGAAGTAAACCTGTTTCCGTCACGTGTAGCGAAATCAGAAGGAATATTTAAACGAATTTTCATCATGAAATGTCCTACAATAGAGCATGTAGGTTGCCGACCTTTCTTGAACAGCCAGCAAATTTAATGTCGTCGGACGACAGTGCGGTCTATTGTGATTGAACATCCATGTGATTTTGATGAAAATTTTAACTTCTTTCCATAGCCATGCAAAGTAATGAAGTCTTTTATTGGCCTTCAGGATCGTCTTTTGATCAAAAACATTCTTATAATTAAAATATTGTAATATTCCGGTCCTCACTCAGTTGCAAAACAAGTGCACACTACTTACCTCAAGGTACTCTTGGCTTTCTTGCGCACGTCATCTTTCTTTGGACAGTCGCCTCCTGTCTTGGTGCAATTATTCTGGTAAGTCCACACCAGAGGGGGTAAGAACTTGATTCGCGTTTTTCTCTGATTATACTCCGTCAATAGTGACCCTGGCCGTGTCCGGGTTTGATCTCCGGACGTGCAGGGTGGGCGACACAACCAGAACAGTCGGTGGGCCGTCATCCGAGGCGTCGGGCGCGAACATTTTCACCTACTCAGACGTAAACATTCAGATGAACTGGTGAACTAGTGGCAACATGCTTAGTCACGAGTCACATGACCGGAGCTCAAGCCCTTACGCGGCCAAAGATGTGCACTACTGATGACCTCTAATAAGGCTGCAACTGGAGTCCAGTGCTTTCACTCTTTGGTGTGAGCTTACTAAAATGATTGCGCCCGGACAAGACAACTGTTCAGATGCGAATGATATGAGCATGGGTTCTCCAATCCAATCCAGTTCAATCCAGTTCAATCCAATCCAATCATAGCTTTGCCGTACCTCGTTGTTACTATGGCTGCAGTCATTCTATTCAGGATACCTTAAAGCGATCCGTATTGGTCTCTGGCTGTGCAGCAGCCAACTATTCAATGGCCGTCAGAATTGCCTGGAAGATTACATGTGCGCACCAAATCACACGAGTTAAGCGTACCTTGCAGCCTCCGATATTTGTGAACAATGTGGTAACTCTGTTCAGGTCTTCGTAGGCCAGTTGCACAAATTACTGTTTGCTCAACATCGTAAGACCACACACTTCCCCGGTATGTAACCAAGACCGGGAGTTGTTTGAAAGACATACATACTTATGTTGCATCGCCTGGTGAACAAGCACTCCACACAGTGGATGAACCACTTCTCACTCTTTTTTGCCCGTTGCCGAACCTATCATAAATTGGATAGAGCCACCGCTCAGCCGATCAACGTAAGAAACCATAAATGAAGTTAGGATGGTTCCGTGTCGATTCCATATGTTACAGTGAAATAGTCAATTAGGGTGACGAAAGGCACGCATACTATAACTTATCAACAAAACTCCAAACAGTATAGGTGATCGACTGACCGCGAGGATGTCTTGCGACACAAGGTACACAAAAGTTAAGGCTTAGTATGGCATCCCGTTTCATTGTTAGTCGCCATTAGAAACTTGGTTACACGTTTGACGGATATGGTGACTTTTGCTATCATTGAATACCTTTACGTGACTAGAATTCGGCTTATGTCACTCCGCTTTATAATCAAAATTTGGAAGGATTTTTGCTCGAAAATTGATCTATTCACCAGTACAAGTTTTCTTAGTGAAGCTGCACAATAAAACTGACATAAAATATCGAATTTGAGCTTAAATAGTGGAAACTGAAACCCGTAAGTGACTGCATAAAGTTTGAAAGAGGTTACCGTCTACCTATTTAGAACTGGCATTCAGAATCTCAGTCTTCCAATTATGGAATTTTTACTTCCGATTCAATGGCATGCTGACTTTTCCTCGGGGTACACTTTATTTTTCCCCAGTAGCTGATCGGTACCTCCAATGAAGAACAACAAAGATGTGAATGTGGACCAAAGTACACAAGAAAGTAAAGACAAAGTCCTCGAACTCACAACCTCTTGGTGCCTT